CATTCCGTTGAATTTAGTTTGAGATGTCCGCCAACAACAATTCAATTCAAAACCGAAGGTTTCTCACCGCAAAACTCACTCGGGCACTTGTTCCAAAGGCTACTCGGTAATATGAGATAGGTCTCACATGAACTACACGTCGACTTTTGATGTTTTTTCTAGCCTAAGCCCGCAAATATAATAAGTCTCAGGTGATGAGGAAAGCCGAACCACTGAAAATACATACACCATTTTGTCAATTGTGTGGGTGAATGTCTCTCTATCAGCTTTCAAATGCAGTTGCCTTTATTCTAATGGATTAAAAGATGACGAAGTTACCAACCAGCTTGGTGAAATCAACATTCGGTCGGTTGTTGATCAGGTGGCTGCAGATCCCCTTGCGGAGCTTGGCAATTAACTGACGACCGTTTCGTTATAAAACGAGGAGACATCATCGGTGCGCAGTTCGGTGGAACTCTGGTGGAGACGCCTACCCGTTTGGTGACCAAACTGTTACCGGTCAACTACCGAGCTCGGCGAGCAGATCAACAACCTCCTGCTTAACAACCAACGGGAGCTTCGGAGATGCCGAAATTTCGACATCACCGAACATTTAATCGCTTCAAAAAGAGTTTTTAAAGCCATTTTAGATACAGTCCCCTTCTAAAAACTTTCCGCTACAGTAAAATTTTGTTTTCACCTTAATGAGTCTGATGAATTGACGTTTTTCTGGGTGCTTTTTCACTCGCTCCTTTGAGTGCCTTGTACAGGGAAATGCTGGTACCATCCTCAGAGGTAAGCGGGTGACGTGATGATATCCTCTTGGTAAACCCTATGGCCATAACAAACGCCTATTGGTCGGAAGATTGTCTTACTGTGAAACTTCCGCAAGACGTACGAAGTAGTACAAACCAACGAGGTTTCGTTCAGTTTCATGCACCATTTTTCGATCTCATGCGATTCAAGCGAAGTACTTATAGAAGACCCTGAACGGATTTTTGGGTTACCATTTGTCGTGTCTAAGCTAATCCGCTTCGCAATGGAAGGGAAACAGAAGCTGACACCTGCTTCAAATCAGCAGTTTGTTTATATCTTAAAAACAGGAATCGAATAAGCAAGCCAGGTGTTAACACCGAAGTGAAGAGCTTACAGAACAATATTCCCTGTTTTATAAAACGCTGTAACTACCAGAGGACTGCGGTAGACGAATGATGCACCCGCCTCCGGAAAATCTGCTGTTGGGAAACACTGACTGAGAAATTCCTAACACAAA